TTGCACCCTCAGATTCCTGATTTTCATAGTTGTATCTCGGCCAAATATTGTCCGATCCTAACAAACCATACATCAATGGAAAGCTTATGTATTCAGCTTTCAGATGATGTATACATCTCAATTTCAGAAAAATTGACCCTTATTACGTTTTTGGTTTTGTGGTCCAGGATCACAAATGCCTAAGTGCTGTTGGTGCCAATAAAGCTGCATTTAATATAAGATCAAAAGTACAATTAGGTGCAGTAAACGTGTTGCTCTACAGCACATTTCAGTGAAACTACCACACTCTTCCAACAAAATCCACACTGCAACCCAATTTACACAGCTCACGTGTAAGAATAGGGCTGAACAATAACAGTTAAACTGATTATTGGGATTATATTGTTAAAAAATTATAATGGCAATTATTAATTACGATTGTTGTCATTTGAGAAATGTATTTTTATATTGTTGCAATCACATAAGCAAACAAATCATGAGAACATCAACATAACATCTAAATGAGCTGGTTTTACTCAAGTCAAAAATAATATTATAAAACGGATAGTCCTTGATTCTGATTGGCTGAGCCGCGCTCGGCAACCACTTTGTAGCAACCACAACTGTTTCTGAGGCGCTACATTGTTTGGTGGAAGAATACTGTGTTTATTAATATCATTACACTTTATTTGCTCTGTTTTATTTTGTGAAACCTTACTACGTATATAACCGTTTTATAAAAGCAGTAACCCCCGTGAAGCTGTGGTTTACAGTGAATTTATAACAGCTAAGTGGGTTTTACTCTGCTTCACGTCGTACCTAACAACGCCCCTTAGCTGTTATAAATTCACTGTAAACCACAGCTTCTTGGGGCTAATTGCTTTATTTAACATCACTGATACCTTATACGTCAATTTATACATACAGTATAAAAAAAATGTTATGGGTTAAACAGGTAGAAATACTTCTTTAACCCTAATAGCTCTTCAGAAAAAAAAAAAAAGTTATAAAACACATTTTTATAAAAAAATAAATAAAAGTTTTAGTAAGGGAACGAAACTTTGCAAATTATGTACGACCCTCATAATACACACAATCATTTATTTATGTATTTGTTTGTTTGTTTCGAGGTCCAAAAGAGAGGTATACTTATTTAAACACAAATGCTACAGGTTTCATGTTCGGGTCATTTTGGACTCAGTATGCATGAAGTACCAACAGCTGTCAAAAATACTGTTTGTAAAATTATCTATACATTTATATTAATGAAATAAATGAATTCCGACAGTTTTTAATTAATAAAAAAGGGGTAAATGCAGTAATAACATGGTAATAACACAGTAACATTTAAAACTTATAGTAACTTATAGTATGGTTTTATTTGAAAAATATAAAATTATGACTGTTTTATAAAATGGCGATTCTTCAGACTGCAAAAACAGTCTATTTTGATTATATATGATAAATATAATACAGATACAGCTTTCATTTGAAAACCTGTAAAACCACAAAAAAAAGATAAAACCGTGAAATTCCTAATACTAATTCCACAATGTTTCGTTTTTTAAAAAACGACAACAATAAACATTGTATCGTGGCACAGAGGTTACAGAAACGCATTTACTCAGCAACCACAATCACAAACAATATAGTCAAGATCCATGTGCAGATTTACTACAGTTCATCGCTGTAGATTTAAGAGAAAAGCTCTGATTGGTGGATTTAAACTCTTGACATCTGGCAACCCCAGGCATTACAGCTATAGTGGAGGCTTGTTACCAGTGCAAGATAACAGCAATGCCAAATCAAACAATGTTTTCAGGATAAATAGCTAGTACAATATCACGGGCAATTATGCTTAATGCGAGATAAGCAGAAATAATGATTGCAATTAAAACATGATTCACTCTGCAGCCCTAAATAATGTTGTAATTTGAATATGGTCCTTTAAAATAACTATGAAGACAGACGTCACTCACACTTTTGCGACATCTGAATATTTACCTTCATGTTTATAGATGTTATGATTGTCATAGCAAATCAAAATGTTGTCCAATATTGTCGCAAACGGCATAACAATAATGCAGAAATCTGCTGAAAATTATTTGAGGCTGCAAGAATCAGAAGAAAGTTCAGCAACGCTTTATGTATAATGCATTATATAGGTATTCATAATGTACTCTGTAATGCATGATATCTTTCCATAAATAATTGTAACCCAAGTTAAAACACTTTACAATATTTGCAGATTCTGTGTTATATCTGAAAGTAGTTGTTTTTCGTGTGAATGCATTACAGATTATACTTACTAAAGGTGTGACAAAGAATAGATGAGCATTATAATGTATTATAACTGTGGTTAGAATTATTCACGTGAACATACAACATGCATTACGTGTCATAATTAATGCATTACAATACTTTTACAATGCATTATATGTGAAAGCTTGTGTTACAGCAAGATTCTGGTGGAATGAATAATTCCAAGCAAAGAAATCATCTTCTGAATGCTTCACATTTACAGGCACCACTGGTCACAAGCATGCACCGAATTGAAGACAAGCAGCTGAAATAGACAGAACGTGATTTATTTGACTCCAGCCTATAAATAATTAACGTTGCAGAGTGTCGCAGGGGTCATGATGGGGTTACACTCAGCTTTTTTAGCTGTGGAGTCCAGGGCCAGGAGTCCGATGGATTTGATAGCATTAATAAACCTGAGCTTTCCTTGATCGCACACAAATCATGTGGTCAGGCCAAACCTCTGACGGACGGCAGCCCTGCATGTCAGTCTCACCACTGTGCTGCCAACCAGCGTTATTTTACTATCCTTAAGATATAACTAGTGTTTGTGTTAATATTTAAATTGTATAATATAATATAATATCTATACATTCAATATAATTTATAACTTAATATTAATATAATAAAATATTAATATATTTATTTTAGTTTTAGGAATTTTGTTGTTTTTGTTATTTTTATTATCTTTTTATTTTATTAGATTGTATTTATTATTATTTTAGTTTTAATAATACATATTTTAGTATCTCAAGTTAAACTACATGAAAATGAGAAAGGTTGGTTTTAGTTTAACATGCATACACACATATACAGTATATATATATTATTATTATTATTTTTATTTTTTTTATTGAAGTTAAAATTAAAATTCGAACTCAACACTGTAAGTGAGCAGCGTGACTTGGCGAAACTGCTTTAGATGAAAGAGCAGCGAGAGCGCAGGCCTCCTTTAGACAGTCTGTTTCTCTGACTGATTTAATTGTAAGTGCGGGTGATGCTGGGTTCAAGGCCGGGGGGCGAAGGTCAACCTTATTTTCTCGCCCTGGTTTCCCGTGCCCATGGAGATGGGGTCAGCGTGTCAAATTAAATCTCATTGCAGCGTTTCACTGCCTCTTGTGTCATGTATATTCAACGCTGCGGCAGGTGCCACCACCTCTGGAAATTCATAGAAAGGTTAACAGCTAAAATAAATAATAAAAAATAGCTCCTTGTTAAAACACTGACCTTGTGGAAAAAAGGCCTGTGCCAGAGAGCGTGTGATGGCTGTGTCCCGAACGCTGCACAGAGACTCGCCGGATATCAGCGGAGGCTCGCCGAGCGCTACATAAAACACCTTCAGTGAGTAAATAAAGCTCGCTAGTCAGCGACTTGATGAAGAACCGCAGCTGAAGTCTGAGAATGATCTGACTGATGCAAGTAACACGCTTACTCAGCTCAGAATTACTAAAGAAATGAACGATCAGTTGTTTATCTAGGATTTGTTTTTGGTGGAGGTATGTGGAATATTTATCGCAAAACAAAGCATCTTCCTGGTTTTCGCATTTTTTAATTGACAGCATACAACTAAAATAACTGATGAAAGTGGTGACGCATCAAGTACAACTAAAATGTTTAGCATTATTTTCAGTTGCAACAGAAATGTGTGTAACTCTCTCAAAATACATATAGGGCCTAAAAAAAATAAATATGCATAAAATAGTATTTATTTACATATTTTTTTATAAACATTAAGCAGTTTTTCAGACAAAATGCATAATTTTGGCTTGGAAGAAAAGCTTAATGTTCCTATTGTTTTGAAATATTTATTAAATAATATTATCATACAATATATTTCATGTATATTAAATTATATGATATATTATGTCATTTATTTATTTATTAAAAACAAATGAATTCTGTATTTATTTAAAACATTGTTTTATTTCCTTTCTGATTTAATAATTCACATATCACAAGGTGGAAAGTACTAATATTCAATGTTATCTCTCAATAGACATGACCTCATAATAATTCTATAAGAATGAGTTTTAAAAGACTTAAAATAGTGTAGCGTGTCACACTACACTAGAACATCTTTCAATTTTTTTATTTTTATTTTGGGCAACATAAAATCACAGTCCGATGAAAGTGGTGATGCATCAAGTACAGCTCAAATGTTTAGTATTATTTTCTGTTGCAACAGAGATGTGTGTACCTCTCTCAAAATACATAATTGTGCATAAAAATATGCATAAAATAAATATTCTGTATATATTTATTCATATACGTTTTTATAAACATTAAGCTATTTTTCCTACAACATCAAAATACATAATTTTGCGGTGAGAGAAAAGCTTAATGTAATTCATGACAACCCCCATCTCATGTTTTCCCTTGCATTATAAAGTCATCTCTGTGGTTGAGGCCAGTGAAAGAGCAAGTAACG